GGGAGCGTGGGAGAGAGGGAGCCGGGAAGAGGAGCTGCCAGGGCCACGTCCGGGGGAATGACATAAGAAAGGAGGAGAAAGAGGCCAGATAAAATGATGCTGCTGGGAAAGAGGGAGGTAAGGGCCTTCGTAGGGCTGAGCGCATGGGCCGTGGAGCGACGAGGGAGTGAGGGAGGGACGGCGGGGGGGTGAGGCGTGGTCCGAGGCTGGGGTGAGCGGGGAAACTGGCGCCTTTGAGGGCTCCGCCACGAAGTCGGAGGCAAGCGACGCGAGTGTCCGGGGATGGAGACCCTGTTGAGAAGTCAGCACGTGATGGAGCTGAGGGTTGGGGGGGGGATTGGGGCGCGGGCGGCCTTGACTTGCCCTCTCCCTCCGTCACCACCCTCCCCGTCTTAGGCCTACCTCCACCCCGTCACGCGTTGGGGCAGTAGGAAGAATATAAGCAGGCCCAATATCACGGCCGCTATGGAGCCCAAGGCGGCATTCCTGTAGGTGGCTTCTTGTTGCTTGCGGGACTCCAGCTTCGCCGATTGCCGACGTGTTGACACCATTTAGATGCGCAGACCCCCGACTTCTTCTCTGAGAGACGAGACAATGAAGAGAGTAGAATCAGGGGTCCTTTGGGGGCAGGAGAAGTGAATTCACAGTACGTTGGAAACTTCGTGATAAATGATGGGCTCTGAAAGCACATAATTTTGTCAACAATGACGATAAGACACATCCAAAGTTACACATTCCTTCCAATCTGCGAAATTTGTCCGGCAACACCCATTCTCTTGAGAGTCTTGACGTGCTGACGGGGTATACAATCGTTTTCGGGAATAAAATTGAGTGAACCAGGGATAAAACTTTAGAGAGGAAAACCAGCAGAAGGGGTGTGAAGCGCACAAAGGAACGTCAAGTACAAATTTTACCGGCACCAAATGATTACTGTGTAAATAGTCTTGCACAATCATTGAGATCTAGAATGCAGGGGGTTGAATGTGACATAGAGCGTGAAAAAAGCAGGCAAAGAGGAAGGAGGAGGGCCGTCGAAGAAAGCGTAGCACGGAGGAACTTCAACTTCTATGTTCGCCGTCTCCCACAGCGCTTTGCATAGATTGAGCCCCATGGGGTTTAAAGCGGCGTAACCGCGGAGGTGCATGAGTAATCATGGAGCTCCTTCTTCATGACTTAGTCTAATCACTTTCCATCTGTTTCAAGGACATCCCGTAGGGAGCTATCCCCCTGGGAACGAGCGGCTGAAATCATTGGCCAGAGTACTAGAGCCGCTTTATTCCCCTCTTGGATACAGCATTTGGACGCTCTGTCCATATGATCTACCTAGCCGTTCTGTTTCTTCTCCTTGATGTCGGTGCCGCCTGGAGATACCGAACGGACGTGCCCTCCTTCTCGCCCCTCCCCTTCACTACGAGGCACATCGAAAGTATCCCTGTAAGGAAAGCTGACATCTCCTTCCTCCCACCCTGGGCCCTGTTCTCCAGCGTACAAGGTGGAGGAACGCAAGCGAAGGGGGAAAAAGGCGGGAGAAATGACCAAGAAACCCCGGCGGTGATGGACGTAGAGGAGGGAGAGGAGATTGCTGAATTCCACGTCACTGCCAAGGAGGGTAGGTGGGTGTCCGGGTGGGAGGGCGGACGACACGAAGCGCAGGGTAGGATGTTCAATTGTCGTGCAAAGGGGGAAGCGGGGAGGGAGGGCGTGGTAATAGCGCGGACACTGGCAGACGGGGGGCTGCGTGCCTCCCATTCTCCCTCCTCCCCTCTCTCTCCCCCTCTCAGGCATGCTCCCCCTGGATATCCTGCTTGTTCGTCGATTCCCTGAGCTCTCTCGGCGAGCCTGCCGACGACTCTTGCAGGAGGGAAGGGTCCACGTCAATGGGCGAGGTGATCTTCCCTCCCTCTTTCCCTTCCTCCCTCCGTCCCTCCCTGTCTCTTTTCCTCCCTTCCTCCATCCTTCCCTTCTTCTCTTCTCTCCGCCCCTTTCTTCCTGCTCCCCTCCACGATCTCATTATCCTTTGTCACCTGGCCTG